CTGCGCCGCGCGTGGGCGAGCCCGTCGTTGCTGGGCTGTATGAGTGGGTTTGTCCTCCTCACTCCCATCACGCGGAAGTTAACGTCCCTTGGGCTCGCTCTTATGAAAGTGACGGATGACCTGGACATCGGCCCACGCTCAGATGAAAGCCCTGGACACAGCTGCGTCATACATAATGAGGGGACGTCTCGTCTTCCGGTGCCACAAAGAAGGAAAAGCTGCTTCCCCCGGTTTATAAGGGTGGAGATGATCGCCGGGCCTTTACGCATAGCCTGTAAAATGGAAGGAAAGATCGGGGTGTCCCTCGTGCCCGAGGGTGTGGGAGTCCCCGAATCACCGGAGAGCTGCTTGTACCCGTGTTATGTGTTGCCTTTATCCTGCCCTGGCCCGTTTTATAATCCTTAACGAGCCTTAATCTGTGCATGACACTCTGTGGTTTATTCCCTTCGGCTGCTCCGTTCGTGGCCTGCTGGCTTTACCCTTGAATGGACCTGATAGACTATCAACGACCCAGGTGGAAAATTCCACTAAATGGGAAAGTTTTCCTGTGCGTGGAATCTGGTTTTGCTGTTCATTTTATTTTTCATTTTATAACAAATCTTAGAATTTTATAGATCTAGATTTATTGTAGTGTGGTACAGCATGAATATTTGAGTATCATGAATATTTAGATGTCACTGACTTGGAATTTAGCCGCATTTTCCAGCATGGGAAGTGGGGTAGTAGGGAGAGGCATCCTATGTGATGTTAGCTGTTTTCCAACTTCCCTGGCTGGCAGAAGTGGACTGTCTGTCCAAAGGCAAGAAATGGTGTTGATGTAGAAACTGGATGACATGATGCTATATTTAGATTTCAGTTTAAAACCAGTGGTTAAGTTTCCATTTGTAATTTATAGAGTTTTGTGCAAATACCAACATATGAAACCTTTATGAGAATTGCCATTGATCTGGGGAAATACCATATTTCAGATAATCATTTTCAGCTCTTGGAAACATCTGTCGGACAATTAGAATTGGCTTCATCTTTGTGACCATAAATGAGCCGTTTCAAGAATATTCACTTTGTTTTCTTCCCCAATGTCAGTATATAGGCCTGGCTCTGGACGTGAGCGGAAAGCTTCCCTTTGCATGTGAATTGCCTGTTACATATTTTGTGTGTAAGACAGAGCACAAAGTATTTTTAAATACTTAAAACTTGAGAGTGATTTTTACCCCCCTTTGCTACTATGCTACAAATGGCAGTCTCCTCGCCATCTGTGTTCATGCTCTTTCTTCAGTATCTTTTCAAGCAACATGTTTCACAACTAAAAATGAGCCATGGCAGCTTCATTCCAGGCGACTCATTTCATCGTCTCCTGGCTCTGGCTCCCTTTCTCATTAGTTTTAGATGAGCTGCTGCTGGGTTTAGGGCTTGACAGGCTTGCGCCTGTGGTTAATTGAATCACACTACCTGGAGAAACCCCGCGGTGATTCAGCCAAAGTAGTCACCTCCGGGTCCTGGCTGCCTCCGCCCCATCTGATCTCTCTTGGCTTTGCACCTGCAGGAACGCCCGGGGCAGGACCCCAGGAAGCTCGTCCCATGACCCAGCGCCCTCCGAAGGGCTGCAGGTTTTAATTTTGCCTTACTGATCCTGTGTTTGATAGTGTCCCCCTCTTGGCTGGTGTGTTAGAGCTGCAGCCACCAGTGTAATTACTCATGGTTCCCACCTTCCCAATTTCTTGGAGCAGGGGACTCTGAAATATATGGCTTTGGTACTAAAAAATATTTTGCTAGACAGTGTCATCAGATAATGACATTTTTGGAGAAAGTTTCCATTTTTTCTGAAATTAAAGTAAATGCTTTGAGGGCTGTTGTCTCTCCCTAGTCAATGACAGCAAATAAGCAGCCCAACATAGCCCCTTAGGGGAATAGGATTTGGACGAAAGATCACCTTGTGGCAATCAACCCGTTTTCTGCTAAAGCTTATGAAGAAGATCACCCGAATTTAAATTCCAGTCTAGAATTTATTCAGGAAAGATGATTATTTCAAAGTTTGCTTATGTCACAACTCCCAGAGGATACTAGTACTTTAGCATTTGTTAGGCATATTTAAGTACATTTTACTCCGGAGAACAGCTGTACTAGGACTTATTTAGTTAAAGCTATTAAAAGAGTGTGTGTGTGTGTTTTCACTGCAAACCTGAATCCTTTGCCTCAAGCAATAACACCATAGTCTTGAGACACAGGAGGTGCCCCCGCCAGTCGGCATCCCCGGGGCTCATTCCACTCAGCATGGGCTGGGCTGGGCTGGGCCAGCAGCGCCACACTTGACACGTGGGACCCTTGCTAATCGAGTGTCGGTGATGAAGCCCACAACTCTGCCCCAGAACACTACCTTTTAAGTTTAGTTTGCTATACAAGTCATAGTTCTCATCAAGACAATTAAGAATTCACATCAATTACTGTAGATAAAAAAATAGAGGGCTGGTGTTTTCCCCCCCTTTAAAAAGATGTAAGTAAAAGAATAGAACTTATAACCTCCACAACTGAGGCATGAAATCAAAAGTAACATGAAAGAGCTTTGGAACAGTTACTGATAATATGAGCTTACTGGGCTTATTAAATATTCTGAAGACAATCACTTTAGCATTCTTAGAAATATTTTTTGGGGGGAATTCTGACTTTGGTTCTTATTTTTTAGTGATTTAAAATTTGGGCTAAATTTGCAACAACATGGATGGACCTGGAGAGTATTATACTAAGTGAAATAAGTCAGAGAACGACAAATACCATATGATTTTACTTATATGTGGAATCTAAAACAAGAAAATGAACAAACAAATAAAGCAGAAACAGACTCATAGAAACAGGGAACAAACTGATGGTTACCAGAGGGGAAGCGGTGGGGGGATAGATGAAAAAGTGAAGGGAAATAAGAGGTACAAATTTGTAGTTAGAGAATAAGTTACAGGGATGTAGTGTACAGCACAGGGAATACAATCAATAATATGGTAATAACTGTGTCTGGCGATAGATGGTTACTAGACTTATTGTAGTGATCACATCTTAAGGTATATAAACCTTGAGTCTCTATGTTGTTCACCTGCAACTAATCCAGTATTGTATGTCAACTATAGTTCAGTTACAAAAGAAGTTTTAATGAGTTGAGAAAAATGCAAAAGTGGCAGTGTTAGGGCTTATTGGTTTGCAAATAATTGTAATGTTCAGATACATAATTATTAAATACATTCTCTGACTGTTTATCTACAAAATAAGTGTATGTGAATCATCAATATTATTGATTGTCACCTTTATGTTTTTTAAAATAAATGCATTTCCAGTAAAATAATGAGAGCAAAATATTATGTAGTAAGTATTTTGGACTGTTGAGTGGCTTTAAATAATTCATTTTCTCTTTCGGTCTTTATCTAGTGATATTTCTGGCCAACAGATGAACCTTCTTCTGATGAAGTCTTTGGATGCCCTGGAAAACTGCTGCTTTGACTCTAGTCTTGAATACAAGTATGTTGATTCCATTTCTTCTCTAGCAGACGCTTAGAGATTAATTTTTTTCCCTGCCATAAATTTTGTATTCTTTGATGAAATATTTGTAGGATTCAATCTTGAATTCCTTTGCAAAGAATTTTCAGTAATTATCAAATATCTGTAATTAAAGCTTACTTGTCCTGGAAACAGTGTTTCGGCAACAGACAATTTGCGTCAGTACAAAGCAGCACACGTCATTCTGTGGCTGTCATTAAGTTACTAATGCCTTAGCTCTGTCTTGTACATATCCTATCAGGCATATATATGGAGGCCTGTGTGCATGAGTTAAACTTTTTAAAGAAACTATATTTTGAATTTGATTGGACTAAGAGTCTCCAACCCATGATTTAGATTTCCCTCTGAAATCCAATGGCTGGGGAATTCAAATGGAATCAAATACAGGTTACACCAGGGATTCCTCACCTCCTCAATGTTAATAGATCCTTTTTTGACCCACAGACCTCATGATTTTTTAATATTTTGTCTATTGACCTCAATATTTTTAAACTTAATTCATTTTTCTCATTGCCATCATGAAAGATAACAAAGCGAAAAGTAATAATCAGAAAAGAATACCTCAGAAAACAACGTTAAACGTACTCATTTTGTGACATTTAGTGTTTCAATTGGTCTGTGTGACTTACGTGGGATATATATGGTTTCATTAGGCCCTCTGAAATAATGGCGTGTCGAGGACTATATTGCACCTTTTTGTACTTACACGTGTTTTGGAACCTCAAGTTTGGATCCTCTGGGGTTTGTTGTTACTTGGGGACTCAACAGATTATAAACACTAACCTCCAACTTACGAACTCATTTACGTTTTGCTATTATGGGCATTGTTCAAATAGGAGTTAAATCAGAGTTTACGTTTCTGGTCTTTAGGAACTTACGATCTGAAGTTACATTTATACCATTTAGCCTGTTTGTTCAGACTAACAAAAGAGTAGATGGTGAAAGTAGCTTCATGAATCAAGTATTTTGTCATAAATAAAGAAAATCAAGTCTTTGTGTAGTAGGTGGTCATGACGGAGTCTTCTTTCAGATGCAGGTTAAGATTGGGTAAGAACCATTGACGCCCACCTAGTTTATCACAAAGCACTTTAGGGATGACATGCTACGTTAAGAGTGTGGTTTGTTATGGGAAAAGAGAGTTCACTGGCATGATCAAAGTCTCTTGAATATGGAAAAATATTAATGGAAGGTATAGAGACTTTTAACGGTTATTGGGTCTGATGAAAAGTTGAGATTTTTGAGCCTAATCCATGTATTGGTGGTGCCTTTTACAATCAAGGAGTAAGCCAGGTTTGTGTCCCTCCCCACTCCCTCTCTCATTTCTTCTCTCTGCCTCCCCCCCCCAAAGGTCTTCATCATAGCTATTAGCTCAAGTATTATAAAGTTGGGGAAACATTTTGTGATTAAGATGCTCCACAATTTCAGCCAGTTGAAACAATCAAGAATGGTTTTCATGTATTGTATTCATTAGTTTCCAGGAAGGTCGTTTGAATGTAGGGAGGACCATAGGGATCGCTGGATTACCCACAGTATCAGTCTTTATGCATGTAAGAACTAATTATGCATGCACATTTAACTTTAAAATGAACTCTTTTATTACTAAGATTTGTGTTTCTTTGTTCTTACCTTCTTTCTTGTTTCTTACAGTACCTTCTTAACTCATTTTTTGAATTTGGGAGAGGAAGATGGGCCCAGATAGGGGATTGGTCCAGCAGAGTCAGGTAGAATAGGGTCGTCAGAAATTCCCTGTCCACTTAGTAAGATCTTGCTTGTCCTTCCAGGGCCCAATCAAAAGCTCAGGTCCTTCAAGAAACCCCTCTCTGTCCTCTCGAAACTCCCCTTATTCCTACAGTTAATGAAGTTTAGTAGTTTGTCATTTCTAATGCTTCATGGGTGGCCGTGCTTATGTTGTCCCCTTTTGGTTTGAGGTTCGATTAATACTTACTGAGTAGCCACAAATTGTGCTAGGCATTTTCACATCCATTTCTCATGAAATTAAGCCCTGATTACAGCCTGAATGTTACTACTAAAGCAGGAATCATCATCATTTCATTTTAGTAATGAAGAAAATGAGTCTCAAATAGGAGACTGGTTCAAGGTCACATGGTAAGTGGCAGAGCTCAGAAAGAAACACTAAGTCGTCTGACTTGAAAGTCATTTTTCTCTCCCTTGAATGGTAGAGCATGGAAAACATTTCAACAGAAAGAAAGCTGGACTATTACAATAAGAAAGAGTGAAATCTTGCCATTTGTGACAACACGGATGCACCTACAGGGTATTATGCTAAGTGAAATAAATCAGAAAGACAAATACCGTATGATTTCACTTATATGTGGAATCTCAGAAACAAAACAAAAAACAAAACAGAAACAGACCCATAGATATACAGAGCAAGCTGATGACTGCCAAAGGGGTAGGGAGTGGGGGAATGGGTGAACTAAAATAAACATTTTTTTAAATCAGGAAAAAAAAAAAGAAAGCAGTTTGACCCTTGATGGTATGGTGGTAATTATTTTTCTATGACACGTTGGTCTTGCTTGCCATTAAAAAAAAAAGGTATCTAGTCTCAGGCCTGAATTCCTGGCTCAGGGCATAAAGTATTCTCTGTCTAATGAGATCGCAGGAGTCTAGGGCAGTCCTCCCTCAAGTGAAATGGGGGAAGCGTCACCAAGAGGTAGTTAATAGATCTGGGGGTGTGCTATCGCTAGTGACAGAATTCACCCAGAGCAAATTCACCACACTTCCTTGATGTAATGGACACGTCCGTCCCTGCCGAGAGAACCGAGCGCCTGGGCGGCTGGGTGTTCGTGATCCCATCACTTGCGTTTTGCTGCCATCTAGTGGTACGGAGGCGCCGTTGCAGCCCTCACCGCCCCAACTAGCCTGCTGTGCACCTGAGCGTTGGCTAATGACTATGCGCCTTCAGGAATACGGTGATGTTTGTATAGCACTTTGTAAAGGGCAAAGTGCTATACGAATGTTAACTGTTATTAGAACTAATTATTAGATGGCCTAGTACTTAATCTTCAGGATAGCCTACATTAAACTGGGGAATTGAAGATTCACCTCTGGTTAATTTTAGAAAAATAGAGCATTATATCTCAGTTGATATAGCAACACACATATCACAACTGCATAGCTTTTAACTCACAGAATTTCTTTTTGGTAGTGATATTTTAATATACTTGGATAAGACATTCAAATAAGTAATGGCATAATAGGGCCTATAGTTTTTAAAACTCAGATTCTCTTTTTCACTTGTTACTGTTCTTTTTGTTTTTAATTATCACCCAAGGATATGTTTTCATTGATTTTTAGAGAGAGAGGAAGCGGGGGAGAGAGAGACAGAGAGAGAAATATCGATGTGAGAGAATTATCTATCAGTTGCTTCCCATACACACCCTTACTGAGGATTGAAGCTGCCACCTAGGTATGTGCCCTGACCAGGAGCTGAACCCACAAACTTTTTGGGTACAGTATGATGCCCCAACTAACTGAGCCACCCCACCAAGGCTGTTAGTATTCTCATAGAAGGTTTATGTTAGTAATTCCAAAACCTCAATTTTATACCTAATATAACTTGTTCTTATTTCATCGACCTGAGATACCAACACTTAACTCCTTTCTATTTTCAGTGAGCAGAAAGATGTGAAAGCTACCTCTGCCCCTATTCATGGTTTAGGGCTGGCAGACATATCAGAGGGAAGCTAGATTGAGGTCAAGTGCAGAAATGCTGAACTAAGCACTTGGGGACTCTAAGACTTAGCACACAAAAATAAACACATTAAAATATAGATTTGGGAATCAGAAGGAGACATCAGGAATAAAGGTTAGAACTACCTTCTTGGTGCATGTTGGAAAAATGAGACAAAGCAAAAGGAAACAATTTAGTAGGTCAGTAGATGCACACACTCAACATATTTATATTGGCACATATATACATAGTTAGATTATATATTCATATATCGCAACAGTTAAATAATTACCGCTGTACCAATGAGTAGAATCATTCATGAAAGGTAACCTTGCTTAAGACTAATTATGCTGTGATAATATTTAGGTAAATGTGAACTAAAACGGATCTCTTTTTCTAAGCCTTTGTGCCCATGTGCCTGGTGATGGTAAAGGAGGAGTTTCAGTCCAGAGAATAAGGATTTTTCTGTTCCCAAAATAGCCCCAAAAGCATGATTTAGATAACTGCCTATTTACTGAGAAAGATGAACCCCAGTACTTAAGTGAGCTTTGGAAGGAATCCTTTTTCCACACGAACCTGACACCCCTCTTTCTTAAATTAGTCTGGCAGGAAATAGAAATCAAGTTTCCTTGATTGAATCTTGGATGATATATTCCATGAATTTTACAATTCACAAATTTTGCCTCCAGCTGAACAAAAGAATCAAGTCTTGGTTTTCTTTTTCTGTTTTTCTTTTGGTGGCTCGTCTCTCACTTTAGACTCCCTTGAAACTCCCCATTTGGTCACTTCTTAGCACTCAGTAGGTATGAGTTGGATGCCTGCCTCCATCCCATGGTGTACTCGGTGCCATGGACATTGCGTTGAGGGAAAAACAGAAAAGGCACCCACCCTCCTGGAGCTTGCCAGGCTAGTGAGTGAGGTGGCTGGTAATTAAACAGTCCCCTAAATAATCCTCATCAGAGTTTATAATTAAAATTGTCTGAAGTAAATTAGTGCAGGGTGCTATGGGAGAGCAGTAAAGGGGCTCCCTGCTGGGCCAGGGAAGGCGTCCCTGAGGAAGTCACATTTGAAGCCTAAGCTTAAATAGCAATTAAATAGTCAAGGAGGGAGCAAATGTCAAAATTTTCAAAGTGTTAATCACATTTTGTCTAACTATATCTTTGGTATAATTCTGTCCAAATTTTATATGCATCAGTATAGAAAGTTAGCCAGAAAAACTTCCCTGTAGATTCTAAATGAAAAGAAAGGCTTGAATTCATACTAATGAGAGCAGCCCCTCTTTCAGAAACGTGCTTTGTCTCAGAGGCAGGCAGTGTTCAGATGCTCGGTGCCGGTGTAGCTGGTTGGAAATGCATTCTGCTAGCTGAGCGGCTCGTTAAGTTCATGTTAGCACGTTAGCTGCTCCAGCATCTCTCCCCGACTAATTACAGATCATTGCTGCAGTAGCCTCTTTACAAAGGTTTTTCTAATGCCAAACTGTTATGCAATAGAACCTAGAAAACACACGTGAGCCATGTTGCCTTCTCATGGGCATTCACTCCATCGTGGCATCATGCAGGGCACCCAGAGGTGTCTGGGGCTTGCCAGATGGAACAGAAGGCTGGGAATTAAAAAACAACAACAACAAAACCCACAACACATGTTTTCTGGCAGTGCTCTATTGAAATGCCCCGCATGACCTTGAGCGAGCCCTGTGGCATTTCTGTCCTTTGGGTGGCTTTATCAGATGTGGGTGCTCCGTTTGCACAGAGCTGTTGGGGGAAATAACTAACAGCCAAGGAGATAGATGCTATATAAGAGCAAAATGACATAGCACACAGGCGCTAAAATGTGCTATTGGAGAAATGCCCGGGAATGTCTCCTTAGCAGCAGCTATCCTGCGGAGGGCCAGCCAGCCAGAGTAAGGACGGTTGCTGAGAACTCAGCAGCATTCCCTCAATTCGAAAAAACAGCAATGAGAACAAAACCTTTTTTTTTACAAAGTAAGAAATTACCTCCAAGCTGCATTATCTTGTCATACTAACTAGAAGTTTTCTGGCAGAACAATCCGTTTCTTTAAATGGATATGAATTCTTTCAGAAGAACAGACACAAAGCCCAGGGTCCCAATTGAGTTGTCACATGGGGCAACTTTTGACAAGCCTGTCATCTGTCCATTTTCTCTTCTGACCCATTGGCTCTCCGAGGGATCGGAGGGGAGGACAGGATTAATGTCATTGTGCGCAGACCAGCACAGTTTCTTTAGGGAAGAAATTCCACTTGTTGAAGTTGACTGGGAAACACGAAGCACTTAGCAGGGCCTCACGATCACACGTTGCATTTATCCGCCCTGTTTTTAGTCAGACGTGCTCAGCTCATATCCTTAAATTTAGTCTTTTCTCTCCTTATGCAGTTCATCATAGCGCATTAAACATGGGGGCCGGGTGGGGGACGGGGGAGGGGACCACAGCTTTTCTCCAAATGCAGAGATAGAGCTGCTTCCGCTGCAGCTTCTGCCTCCTCCTGTCCTCGCTGTGGAGTTTAACTCCGGCTATTTCTTGCTTTATGTGTTTTTGACCGGTGGGTAGACAGCATTAGCATGGGCCACAGACTCCTGTTCTGTTATAAAGCCTGCCTTGGGGGGGGTCTACCGTGCTGTTTCGTGGGGCACACTTGCCTCGCAGGCAGCAGAGCTGAAACGGCCCTCCCACTTCCGATGTAAGCCCCCAGGGAAGGCGGAGAGGGAGGCCGTGGATTTGTGTGATTTTTAACACCTTGTCTTTCTGGCACCCAAGCTCGGGCTGCATCCTGGGAGTTGGACTTGTTCTGTCCCTCATGAGCCACAGCAGCCAAGCGGAGTCGCGAGTGCACGTGGCGGCGGCGCTCGGGAAGCTGTCTGCGCACCTCGATGACAGTGGGAGCCGGGGCAGAGCCTCCCAGGAGGTAGGAGACGGGCTCTGGGCGCCTTCCCTTCTCGGGCTTTTGTTTTCTCGTTGCTGCCTGTCTTCTTCTCACATTTTGGTGACCCTGAAATGAAATTCTTCCTCAGTTTCAACTGGGGTAAAGGGAAAATCTGAGTGGCAAGCAACCTATATTAGATCATAAGGGCTTCAAATTGTGCAGCTATTTAAATCGACTTAGACTTGAATGTGGCCTATGAGATAAGAGCCTGGAGTGAATACAAAAGCCTAAGTCAGCATCACTGGGAGGCACTTTCTAAGAAGAGCTGCAATTTCTGGAGGGAGGGTAAATGGAGAGGTTTAGAATTAGGCCCAAGCCAATGTAACCCTAAAAGATGGCCAGGAAAAAGCTTACGAGACGGCAGATCGAAAAGGCATTTGCTTTTTTTAATGTCAGCCAGCATGAAAAATTATTGAGGAAATTCCCTTTGCCATGGGAAGAGCTGTTTCTCTTAGGGCGCACAGATATGCAGAATTGCGGTCCCCGTGACCCCGTCCATGAGCCCTGATGTGCTGACCCGCCCGTGGGAGGTGGGGCCCGGGGCACCCAGGTGAAGCTGCCGCCGGCCTCGGCCTGGCCGCGGGCTGTTGATGAGCGGAGCGTATAAAGGCCCTGCGCTTCCCGCTCGGCTCCTCTGCTTCCAGACCAGGGACTTGTTGAGTCTGTGAATTTCTTGGGGTCACAGAGGGTTGATGTTTTGTTCTAAGACATGCACATTTCCATTTTTAAAGCGGAGCTTGATTTAAAAGTACATATTTTTTTAAGCAAAAGGAGAAAAATTTGCAACCACCACAGAGCAATTTGGTTAATAAACGAAAGCAAGGTTTTCATAATTGAGGCATTTGACTGCTTTGTGTTTTGATTTATAAGGCCTTGGGCAAGCATTTTGGGTTTTTTTCCCCTCTCTCATGTTTTATTATCCAATTTCTACCTTAGAAACCACTTCTTGTTTTCATGCTGTATAAACCGATGTTAGGAGGTGAACATTTCCACTTTGTCTTAAGAGTGTCTTTGTAAGGGAGGGTTTCATCATGAAAATGCAAGATAGCAGGGAAGGGGTAATTAACTCTGATTTGCAAAAATTAAGGCTCAAATAGATTGACTCGCTCAATGTTATTTAGCCAATAATTGGTCAGTTTGAAACATACACTGGAGTATTCCGTCTCTACTCCCAGCATTTTTATTTGTAATCTGTGCATTTATTCATCTGCTTGTTAAATTACCCTGCCGTGCTGTGAAGTGAGTAGCAGTACCCCTATTTCACACAATTTACCTGACCCTAAAGCCCACAGTCGTGGTCCGTTACGCTCTATTACCGCTCCTGGGGAACCTTAAGGTAGCAGTGTCTCTGTTTCCTCTGCTGTTTGGCCCTGGATCGGAGCACGTGGCAATTAGTGACATCCACTGTGCTGAAAATCCGCCTCTGCTGTTTACCGATGGTGTGTTCTGAGTTGGCGAGAGGGCCCGATTTGAATCTCACCTCTGCCACTTGCTAGCTCTGTGTAACTGAGCCTCAGTGGCCTTATCTATAGAGGGGAAATAAGACGCCCATCTCATAATTGTTAGGAAATGTAAGTTGGGCGGTGAAACAGTGCCCGGCCTGTGGTAGGGGTATTTGAATCCAGTCCATATCCTGGGGAGAAGCGTGACAGGATACTGGTGCCAACGAAACCTCGTTCTTTTATTTTCCCGCATGAAGAAACATTGTCCCGCTGTCTCTCCTTCTCAGGTCCTTGCCTATACCCTCAGCTGTGTGTGTACAGCAGCATTCAGTGCCGGAATTATTCAGGCTGAAGAGGCTGAAGATATTATGAACAAGCTTCGACTGCTGGTGGAGAGCAGCCAGCAGGTCGGGATGCGCGCCCTGGTTATTTCTCTGTGGGTTTCCTGCTGCTGGGCCCCGGTTTTGACTCACTCTGATGAGAGTGTGATGGGCTGCTATGCTTGCCCAGACTGAGGAACGTCTGAGTGTCCTCTCGTCTCCCAGCTGTAGCCAGCGATCATGGGTGTCTTTCTCTCTCCATATCCCCTGTGTCCTCCTATAGACCTCTTTTTGTTGTTGGTGGTGGGAGAGAGTACAAAGGCTTTTCGATATGAATACATAGAGGGCTCTGGTAAGTCAAACCTTAGCCAATTCAAGGCAAAGAATCTCACTCACGACTGAAGAGGTATAGGAAAACTTAAATGCCTATAAATTAAATACCCTCAAATGTGCCTCGGAAATATCACTCAGCCTTAACAAGGAAGGACATCCTGCGCTACAGCAGGGATGAACCTTGAGGATTTTATGCTAAGTGAAATAGGCAATCACAAAAAGACACATACTGCATGATTCTTTTAATATAAGGCACCTAGAGTAGTCAAATTCATAGAGACAGAAAGTAGAATAGTAGTTGCCAGGGGCTGTGGGGGGGAGTTATTGTTGAATGGCTACAGTTTCTGTTTATAAGATGAAAAGAGTTTTGGAGATGGGTGGTGGTGATGGTTACACAATATGGGTGTACTTAATACCACAGAATTGCATAGTTAAAAATGGTTAAGATGGTAAATTTTATGTTATATGTATTGTACCACAATTTTAAAACTTGGGAAAAAAAAATTCTGTCTGATTACACACGCTCTAGAATCTCCCCATTGCTGGTGGTAGTGGTTTGTGTTTCTCTAAAGTCTCATTATTGGCCATAGTGGGTTATTTCAGGATTCATCGGTTTGAGCTTATACTGTTTGGTATTGTTGCTACTTTAGGATTACGTGCCCTCTCACGTACAGTAGGCTTTGCAACACCGAAATGTAGAAGTTCACACATGCAGCGCTCGGCGGGAGACTTCTTCTCTTCCTGGCTGGGTGTTGACAGCCTGTGCGTTCCACTTCCTGTCTTCACTCAGCCCCTTCTGCGAATGTGGGTCGTCTGGGCCAAGTCGCTCAGCAGTGCAGTGTCATTTCCCTCAAGCGAAGCCCTCACTGCAGCTGAATCCCTTGCAATTAGGCTGTAGTTTCTGTTGCAAACCAAAGTCTAGATTTTTAAAAATCTGCCAACCTCCAGTTTCCAGATGGCAGGAAAACTGGTCAGTGGGAAAGGGAACCCTCGAACTGCTCTTGCTGCTGTATGTAAACATTCCTGATCCGTGCTCTTCCTCCTCACTCCTTCTGTTTGTTTTTGACAGACTTCAGGTTTTGCCTTGGCGCTAGGAAACATAGTTCATGGTTTGTCTGTGTGTGGACATGGAAAAGCGGAAGACTTGGGCAACAAGCTGCTCCCTGCCTGGATCAGGACTGTCCTAGCAGAGGTAGAGGTCACCGCCTGCGTGGGGTCTTATTTTTGTATAAAGGGAAAAGGGCTCCTTAACTGGACCGGCCGTAGGTGCTGCTCAGTATAGAGCTGAACAATGAAAGAACAGGCAACTCCAAGTAAAAAAGAAACGTGTCCTTTCCAACACTTATAATGATGCATCCTGTCAACTATGATAGTTTCTTTTGAACTGGTTATTTGGTCAGTGTTTTAACTTTAAAACAACCTTGTGGTTTTGAAAAATAAAAAAAAACAAGAAGCCACCTATGATCTAACTACTTCAACCTGTTGCTTTATTCAAGCCCGGAGTCATTTTTGGTTCAGTGACACAGGTTATTCAGGTTATTTTGACCCTACAAGTTTAGTACCATTTTGACCATTAATTTCTCTATTATATAGTACGTTTTATCGAATTCAAACCCAAGGACTGGTTCCCTCTTGACATATTCTCTGCTTTCAGGGCACTCCCACAACGCTGTGCTTGGCAGCTCTCCACGGCATGGTGGCCTTGGTAGGCTCTGAAGGGGCTGTGACGCAGGTAAAAAGAAAGAAGAAATCTGAATGTGTACATAGCCACAGCAAGAGCAGGAAACCTAACATCTCAGTATGCTAAGGACAGAATATACGCTCATCGTAATGGGTACACTGGGCTTTGCAGTGACTTGATGTAAGGGAAATTGTTCTTTTTAAAGAAAAAAATGTTTGTGTTGATTTGAGAGAGAGAAAGGAAGAGGGAGAAACATCGATGAGAGAGAAACATCCATCAGCTGCCTCCTGCATGCCCCCTACTGGGGATAGAGCCCGCAACCCCGGGCATGTGCCCCAATCAGGAATGGAACGGGCACCTCTTGGTGCATGGCACGATGCTTAACCAACTGAGCCACACCAGCCAGGGTGGAAAATTGTTCTTTTCTGGGAACTCTTAGTGTAGAGATTTTTCCCCCCTTATTTTAGTTGGTTTGTAGGAATTTAGTCAACTTATGTACTTGCCACAAAGTTCTCTGCCTGAGTACAGTGATTGAATCCTAAGAAATTTCAGAAATCATTCATAAGAAAATCCATTTTGCATCTGCAATGTTTATTGGTATCTAAGTAAATTTTTTCCACTTTAAAATGTTTTTCATAGTGGACACATATATGTGTAAGTTTCTAAGTAATTCTTAGGACTTCCTTTGTTTTATACAGCACAGGTTTATTAAGTGATTGCCACATGCCACCCTGAACTGGTGCAAGGAAATCAATGATCAGTAAAGCATGGGCCCTGCTCTCAAGGAGCTCACAGTTTTTGTTTTTGAATTATAAGGACATTATGATAAATTACTTCATGGTTTAGAAGATGATAGCTCATACACTGGGAATATCGTTATATATATATTTTTGGGGAGATGTTGGAGTGGATATTTTTTGTTTTTCTTTCAGCTGAAGTCAGAAGCCATCCAGACCTCTCATTTTCAAGCGAGACTTAATGAAGTCATTAGAACCTTAACACAGGTGGGAAGAGGAATTTAAAACCCTTCAGTGGGAAAGCAGATACTCCCCTTTTTGTCTTTTTTCTCTTTCTTGATAGAAACTGTTTCACTTAGAAAATGAGGAAGTTTCTGGTTGCTGATGGTGAGTTTAGGGGGCATTTGAGAGTGGTTTGTAGCCCTGCATTTGCTGACAAACATGCACTCCTCTAAAAAAAAAAGAAAACTGGCATTTTGAGTTAACTTAAGTTGGCATTATTTTCCCTTAAAAACTAAAACCTGACCCTGCCAGGAATGTCAGGCCCTGAGGACATGGAGAAATGGACGGTGACCAGAGGGCAGGGCAGACACCTGAGTAGCATGGTCAAGTGGCACCAGCTCAGATGTCACCGATAAAAGTATTTGGGTAAATCATTGTCAGCGTTATCCTTGGCTGAAGAATGAACATATTTATGTGCTGAGAAGTGATTTTATAACTTGATATTTTTATTTTTTTTAAATGATTATGTTCATTGCATAAAATTTGAAGGTATAGACATAGTGGAAGAGCTGAAAAAATATCGCAGGTGGTCCTCCCAGCCTGAAGCAACTGCTTCTACTGTCTGGTCATATTTCTTTTCAAGCATTCATTATTTTCTTTGTATAGTTGGTATTCTTACTGCACATAGACCTTTGTATTCTAGTCTTTCCAGTTAGCATAATTTTCTTGTAAAATATTGGTGATTGTAACACCTGAAGAAGTTTTAGAAAGTCATACTTTTGAAAGCAAGCAGAAATTTCTGAACAGCAAAGAAACTGTCTTTTTCATGTATGAATATGAATATTCTCAAAAAAAAAACTACTTAAACTTAAGTTGCTATAACTTGGGAGAGAAAAATCTATAATTGAAACTATTTTAAGTGTTTGTTATGAATGACCAAATAGTAATTGAAAATTATTTAAAGAAGGAAACAAAATAATATCTACTTCCATTTTTAGAGGTATTTTAATCTTAACTATCACCTCTTTTTACATTTTGGATTTTCTTTTCCCATTCATTGAAAATTCCTTTGAGACCAATCTGACTGAGTGATACCTGAGACAAGCACTAATATGTTCTTCTTATCATCAGTTGATTGATTGATTGATTCATTCATTCATTCATTCGGCAACACTTGTTCATCACCTATATGTCCCAGATTTAGTAAACTAGACAGGTGATATTGCATCTTGTAGAACTTCTCATTACCAGACAAGCCACCACCTCATAAAAGATTAGTGACTTTCTGTGAGTAGCCTTTTATTGAATGGAGTTTGGATCATGTCCCATCACTGAACTGTTACATTTTTATCCATAGGTCATCAGTGTGTCTGGGGTGATAGGTCTTCAGTCCAATGCAATCTGGCTTCTAGGACATCTTCATCTGTCTACTCTGTCCTCAAATCAAAGCAGAACCTCTGGTAAGATTAGAGCCATCGGACACTGGAGCTGAAAGGAGGGATTGCTGACTCAAGGCTATATGCACTCTGTTAAGAGCATTAATCTCCACAACAACCCCAAGTAATGGGTATGGGTATTACCATCCCCATTTTACATCAGAGGAGGTGGGCTGTGGCAAGGCTTTCTGACCTACCAGGGTCATGACGCAGTTAGTGGTGGACACCAGTTTGAGCTCAGCTCTGTTGGGCTCCAAAGCCCATGCTCTTTTCCCTCTTTTTGTCTCCCTCAGAAAAGAGTTTAGACATTGAGTCTAACCCCATATTTTACAGATGAAGAACCTGAGACTCGGAAAGATTACATAAGTCACACACACAATTGTTTTAGTGACAAATTCAGGGAAAAAAAAGAAGTAGGTCGTTGAAAGCTTGGAACAGACTTCTTTTTATTTTACTAGATGTAATAATCATAGTTGTATACTACCCGTATTTCATTAAAAGTCTCTTCATATATGGCTGGAGTTTTTCCGGCCCCTGATTTTGAGAAAATAATGGGGTAAGTACATTGAAAGTTGTGCATCTCATTGGCTAGGACTGAAATCCTAGACCTTAATGTAACAAGGCTTTTTGTATTTCCAGCTTTTTGATAACAAGCAATAAGAAATATTTGCAATTCCCACATGCTTAATTTATGTTTGTACTTGAAGATTTTCTAACATACTGGGACCTGTATGTCCTCCTTGCTGCTGATAGAATTTTGATCCACTGGCTCTCTTGGACCCAGGCCAGAGGGGTTAGGTACCAAAGATTCCTCATTAAAACCTAGTTCCACATATCCCCTGACAGGTAGTGTATGGAGAGAATTACCATGAACACGGGCCCCTGTAATTACTGTCTCTCTCACTTTCAATCACCCCGTAGCTACAGAAATAGGACATTATTCCGCAGCATTCCCAACATAATGAACTTGAGACAGCTGGCAGCTGTCATATTAAAATGGTGAAAAGAAAAAAAACTTAGTCATCGGAGGAAACCCTTGGTAATGCTAGTTTGGAAGGGCAGTGCTCTCACAATTTCCTGGTAAAATAGCATGTTTGTGTCAGGCTTTTGCTTTTTACATTGACTGTTTTTTTAAGAGTAGTTTATTGATTTTTAGAAAGGAAGGGAGAGAAGCACCCATGTGAGAATGCAACATCAGTTGGCTGCCTCCTGCACAGTCCCCGCCCGGGATCGAGCGTGCAACCTGGGCATGTGCCCTGACCAGGAATCGAACAGGCAGCCTTTCAGTGCCCAGGACGACGCCCAACCAGCTGAGCCACACCGGCCAGGGCTGCACAGGCTTTTAAACGTGGGCTATGTGGTCTGGCCCACATATATTCAGGCCAGGTCACAGTGAATCATCCTACACTCAGGTTCTTTGAAACAAAACGATTGTATGTCTGGAAAAGTACAGCTATTTGTTTCTGATGGAATTTTCCAACTGAGCCATTTATCGCAGTAAAACCCATCTCACGAAGCAGTTATGGGGGGAAAAGGACCTAGGAGACCCCCAGGACTCGGCTGGCATCACTGTCGCTGTTTCGGGTCAGCAGCAGCTGGTTATTTTTCCACGTTGGTCCCTGAGAGTCCCTGCCTTATGAAGTAGGTGACTGGTTGCTGTTAATGCTGACTGTTATATTTCATGGTTCACATACCCCATTCAGGATATCCTGAAGCAGCTCCCAGAACGGTGGTCTCAGCCTGGAAGCCGACAGACACCTACCTTGCGGACACTAAGGAGGTCACAGGATTGGGGGCTCATTGATGTGACAGGGTGGAAAGGATTTGTTTTAACCGCTTCAGTAAATATTCTTCCTCTGTGGTTTCCACCCTCTACTAGGTTTACTGCCACGTTAGATAGCTCGCATCGCCTACACGATGACTTCAAGGCCAGTCGCTTTAATAGAATTAGTTGCAGCCACAGAGTATTGTGCTGAGATTAATGGCATAAACATCTCCGGTTTGTCTCTAGGTTGATATGCAGCCTGAGATCATTCTCTTTCCTTCATTAGTCCGCCAAGTTCATTGGTTAATTTGATAATTTTCTGTCTCCACAGTTCCTACTGACTACAGCTACTTGCCTGAAAGCAGTTTTATTAGAGCAGCCATTGATTTCTTCATTACGGGGGGAAAAAAAGGCAAGTAAACACATTTCTTAAGTTTTATCATGCCCTGAGCATGCCTCTGTAAAATTAAATAACACAAATCTGAAGGGGTGAATATTTTCCTCTGCTTAGAGCGTCTTTGCGATAGAGATGGCCAGGCCCAACTGCAATAAGTGGTACATAAAACATACACACTGTGTAGTCTCTTGGAATCACCGTGTCTGACCTGGTGGGGGGCGGGGAGCCTCTGTGAAGACTTTAATCTTCATTTGGCCATTTCAAAAGTATAAGCACAGGTTACTTTTCTTGTCAGTTTCAAGTGAGTGTGACCTAGAAAAAGGAAACAGGCCTGGGTGCAGCTTGTGTTTCAGGACCTGACTTACAAGTAGGTCTTCACCCTGAACCTTGTATGATCACCCTGTGTTGTTGGAATCACTGGCTCTGGGTTTTATTTTTAGCTTATGTTTTTTTCTCTGCGAATATTCGTCCCCTCGTGATTCATTCTTTCACGCTGTCACCCACATTAGAGCACAAGCCATCTGAGCACAGAGATTGAGTGCCTTTTGTTTTAACTGGAGCCGGAAGAATGCCATCCAAGTTATTAAATAAATACTCTTCAATGATACACATGCTATTCAGCGCTGTGAGGAGAAAATGGATTCGAATTTGAACTGTCCCAGCTCAGGAACCAGTTTCATTCATATAATAATCTTTCATTGGTATTTGCTAGTTCCATTCTTCTGTGGGCTGGTTCGGTCAGTCTGGGCAAAACCAGTGCCTGTATTATAAGGCCATCCCAATTTTAAGTGGCTGGGGGGGGGGGCGGCACAACGACACATTTTTGAACAAATGGAAATGAAGGAATCTGAAAGAGGCAAGTTTGGTTAATGAAGGTTGTGGAAGAATAAAATGTTACCATTGAAAGGGACATTAAAGGTCACGTCATCTGTTTCCCCACTGGGTGCAGTAATCCTGGAGTTTCCAGATTATAAGCTGCCTTCACAGCTTGGAGATGAATTCCTTTGGTTTCTGGAGCCCTAGAAATTGTGCCGTTATCTGAGGGTCGTGACTTAGCAAGATCTGCTTGCACATGTCCTCGGTGACAGCTGATACCGTGTATGGTTATGTCAGTGTTGTATGCGATATATTTATACATGAACATGTCATGTAGTACACATAATGTGGAGTTCATTGTTTAAAGTGCCATAACTCAAGTCTATTTAAAGTAGATATTATAATCAAGGTGTCTTTAGTAAGAAATTAAATTTTTACTAAAGGAGCATCAAAAATTTCCATGGCTGGGATAATTCTGGGGATAGATATTTTTGTCAGTTTTTGTTAGATCGCTCCCTGCTATCCTATAAAAATTTTAAGTGGTGATAATGTGAGATAATTTCCATGAGGCAAAGTATAAGAATTCTTAAGGTCAAATGAAAGATAGACTCTTTTCTAGTGAATAAAATGTCAGTTAGCTTCCCAGATCCGTATTTCTTGGCGGAAATGAATATCCTCTGAAGCCTGTGGGAAATTCTTTGTTGAATGTAACATTTTTGTGATGACGCAGTCGTGGCACAACAGGGAATGTCTGCTCTGAACCCGAGAGATCAGGGAGCCGGCATCGGTGACGTCATGTGCGGTCTTCCTGACCGCTGTTTTAAAACAGATAAATGAAGTATGAAAAAGCGCCCTCTTACCGATCAGATGGTTGGCGTTTTCAGGTTGTGGGAGAGGGCTGCCTTCTTGTCAGGTTTGCTGACTAGATTCAAGGGGAACTCTATTCAGCCTTGCACATTACTAATGATGACCCCAGAGGAGTGGGGGCCGTGGGAGGCTGACCTCAGTCTCCGAAGCCCATTTACAAAAACAAAACCAGACCCTGCTCTCGGGGCTAAATGGGATGGCCAAATGCGGAGGTGTGCATGCAAACGAGTGTTTTCTTCTTCAATATGCTCAGCTCATTTGAATTTTAATAACTCCCTTCTGAAGCAGCTTTTGAGTTTAAATGTCCGGATGTCACTCACCAGAGCCCAGTGGAGCTGCTGATAGGAAGGATGACAACTTTGGTGAGCTCTTTTGAGGAAGAAATGGCTTTAGGGGATAAAAATCATGCTTGGCACAGGCAGACGAGAGCAGGCTGTGGGGAGAGCGTGGCTCCATTGCCTCTGCGTGCCATTCACTGACTCACAAGAGGAAGACGAGTGGGATGAGTGATCCCTGTGCCACACTCAGGCCGGGAGCTTGGGCATCATGATCTCAATTTTAGGCTATCAAGTGAGATGGCAAATCTGTTCACCTGCTTTCTAATGCTTAGGGCTCTTCTTACTTACTCCTGTGATAGAACATACAAGATGTTCATAGTGTCCTGCATGTTCATAGCAGACCTACATTTTAAAACCATACCAAATAGATGAAATCCCTTCTGGTTGGTAAAGACTTCAATTAATAGTTTTCAATATAACTTTTTTTTGCTATACTCTAACATTCTCTTTTCTTCTGTAATAGCACTGGCATTCTTCTAACAGATATATTTTCCCTTAATATTTGTCATTATCTATTTCTGTGGACATTTCTTGACTATGGTAGGCTTAAGATTTATTTGTCATTTAATTCTTCCTATCTTGGAATTATTTTTTCCCCTTAAGAGCATTTAAATTTTGACTCTTATTTTTCTTCTTTTCTATTCATTTATTCTTTTTTTCTGACTTCTGATCTTTGTTTTTTTTAATCTCATAGCATATTCAGATTTCAAGATTTTATTTTCTTAAAACATTTAAAATGTATTGTAAGTTCTTGATAATAGTAATCATTTACTTTTGGTGCTAACATTAGGTACTTATACCTAACAATTTAGGATTTTTTAAAATTTTTTTGTTGATTTCAGAGAAAGGAAGGGAGAGGGCGAGGGGGAGAGAGAGAGAAACATCAATGATGAGAGAGTCATTGATCAGCTGCCTCCTGCATGCCCCCTGCTGGGAATCGAGCCTGCAACCCGGGCATGTGCCCTGACTGGGAATCCAGCCTCCATCTCCTGGATCCTAGGTCATTGCTCAACCACTGAGCCACACTGGCCGGGTGCCATTTCTCTATTTTTCATTTAAAATATTTCTATTATAGAAAAGATAATATTTCTATTATCTTTTTATTCAAAAACAATTAAGAACTTTGTTTTTTTGTTTTTTTTTCCTTTTTATTGAATTTATTGGGGTGACACTGGGTTAACAAAATTTATACAGGTTTCAGGTGCACAGTACTACAACATAACACATCATCTGTACACTGTACTGTGTGTTCACCACTCCAAATCAAGGAGAATATCTTAAATTTTTTTTAAATTGATTTTAGAAAGAGAGGAAGAGGGATAGGAGACAGAAGGAGACAGAGAGAGACAGAAAGAGAAAGATCGGTTTGTTGTTCCACCTAGTTATGAATTCATTGGTTGATTCTTGTATGTGTCCTGACAGGATCAAACCCACAGCCTTGGCTCATTGGGGCGATGCTCCAACTGACTGAACTACCTGGCGAGGGCCAAAGAGGACATCTTTATACATGCAGTTTTCCCTCTTTTGCATATAACTTTCCTTAGGATAAATTCTCAGCAGCTTATTAGTGGGCAAGGGTCTGAGGATTTGTTAACTATAGGGGTGGCATGGCCTCATTGCTCTTTAGAAGTATTGTGCCAGGTTTCAGTACCCCAGCCCTGTGTGAAGATGCAGAGCAGTGGATCATAGCGGCTAAAAGCATAGGAGGCGGGCTGCCTGGTTCAGCCCCACTTCTGCCACCCGTTGGCTATGCAGCTTCGGACAAGCTGCTTCAGGCTCTAAGCCTCCATTGCATCTGTAAAGTGGAGAAAATCTTCTTTATAGAGTCCTTGTAAGGATTATGAGTTTATAAGTTACTTTATGTAATAGTGCTTAGAAAACAAAGAATAAACCCTTTCTAGTTATTACAAAGCACACCCACATATAGATAAATGACTACAGTAAAAACCAATCAGGTATAGAATGATACCTGAAGACTTTAATTTGCATTTCATTGCCAGAAGGAATAAACACTGTTGCATGTATTTACTATTCGGGAGGTTGTTTATTTTTTATTTAAATGTTAGACAGTTCTTTTTAAATGTACCTTTTTTCTTTTACTTTTTATTTTGAAATAATTTTAAACTTCAAAACAGTGAAAATAGCCACATAACTGCTCTTTTCCTTTCACGGGATATTCTATTCAGCTTTCGCTGACAGTCCAGATGATGGTAAGGTACATAAAAAGAATCTTGAATGTCACACAGTGCTTATTACATCTCCTCAGTCTCCTTCAGCCTGGAACAGTCCCTCAGTTCTTCTTTGACTTTCATGACTTGGACATGTTTTGAAATTAGAAGCGAGGTATTTTATAGACCAGTCTTCTCTTTGGGTTTGCCTGGTGTTCCTCACAAGAGAGTCGGGTCGATCATCTTTGGCAGAAATACCATGGACCTGAAGCTCTGTTCTCCTCACTGAATCCCCTCAGTTGCCACATGGTGTCTGTCGCCCTCCACTGGTGATGTCAACTTTGACCACATGAGGTGATACCTTCTGGTGTCTCCACTATAAAGTTTCTCTCTTCCCCTTATCATCAGTCAGTATTCTGTGTGGAGATGCTTTGAGGCTTTATAAACATCCCATTTGTTATCCTACTTTTACCCCTTAGTTTTAATATTCATTAATGCTCTCTTCCCTGAATTATTACTATAATCTTTGCCAAAAGGTGATTCTCAAAATTCTATTATTCCATTTACAGTTAGTAAGCATTATGCTGTAAGGAAATGCTGCTCCCTCCACTTCTCCCTCTCTCTCTCTCTTGGTATGGACTACTAAATTCCTTTTTTATTTCATTATTTATTCAATTGTTTTGATTCTCAAATTGTTCCAGATTAGATTAGTAAGAACCTCTTTAAGTTGGCTCTTGGGTTTTTTTGACAGGACCCTGTCCTTTGAAATTCTTTCTTTCTTTGTGGCACAAGATGTTCTGGGCGCATCTTGTAAGCATCCTCAGTC